AATGGCCATAACATGCATTAATAATACGTTTTAAATGTTGAAATTACAGTTAGTTGAAACGGGACTGGGCAGCCTGATGAGGGCAATGTCGTTGGTGAGGAGCCAAGAGTTCCAGTTCTCGTGAGTGAAGAAGTCGGTGGAGACAATGGAGACCTGGCTGGCTTCGTTCTCGCGAATGTTGTGGGCGCCCAGCACTACCTCGACGAAGCCGGCGCTGGAAAGCATTGGGTGTGGATAACAATTAGTACATGAACTGCACTTGAAAAGCTAATGCTGTTTTACAGTGGCGAGGCACGAACAGTTAAACCATTAGGGTTATACAAGCTAACCTACCCGTCCATGCAGTGAGCGGCCGTGAGGACCCACTCGTTGGAGATGAGGGAACCGCCGCAGAAATACATGTCGTCGATGAAGAGAGCCGCCTGATGGGGCCACGAGTGGGGAGTGGCCTCAACGCCACCCACGATGCGAGGCGTGGCTGCAGAAAGAAGAGAAATTCCGTAGAAACATTGAGTATAATGATCCCAAGAATCTACGTCCCATTAGCAGCGAATAAAATGGTCCCCGGACTCGACTTCCCTGTTAATCGGTTCCCAAAAGAACTTGAGGCCCTACCGTTGACGTGGATGCGAGGATCCACGAGGGGCTTCGGGGACTTCCAGTGCCATGGCTTCCCCGCGGCGGGGTTTCCGCTCTGAAAGACACAAGAACGAGTGGATGTATGGATCAAATCAAAAGAAAAAAACTCTTGTCACCCAACTACCTCCGTTATTGTTCAACAAGTGACCTGAATAACCTTCCAGCGAAATTGACGATTTGCTTTTCGTTATATGCCCTAATATATGAAAAATCATGAAAATACATTTCCAAGATAAATTAAAACTTTGAGTAAAGTGAGTTATTGCAACACTGAGCCATTCACAGGTGCGTCTGGCAGCGTTGGCTTAAAGGTCGGTATTTTTGTCAGTCATTGTGCAAGACACAAACGACAGCAGGCAGTCCTTACGGCGACGGCGACGCAGACGAGGAGGAGTGAGAGCTTTCCGATCATCCTGGCGACCTGAGACCTGTCTGCAGGCAAGCCCCTTAAATACCTGTTGCATCTCGCCAAGGGCACTCGTTGCATTCTCGGGCCAACGGCTATCAGCTGTTATCAGGGCTGTGGGAATGAACCGTTACACCAGGGATCTGAATCACCTGTTTCTACCTGGTGGTGACAATCCCCTTTTAATCTGTATTAATTATTTTTTTATTTTCCTGTTCATGCATACATACATACATAAATATATATATGCATATATATATGTATGTATATATGTATATGCACACACACACACACACATATATATATGAGTGGATGTTTTTATGTATGTATATGCATGCATACATACTGTGCACACACACACACATATAGATATATATGTATGTATGTCTGCAGGTATGCTTGTATACACAGTATGTATGTTTGTATGTATACGCATCCACACACACACACACACACACACATATATATATATATATGTGTGTGTGTGTATATATATACACATATATCTGTATACATATGTATATGAATATTTATGTATATATATATATGTGTGTGTGTCTGTGTATGTATATGTATATGTATGTATGGGTATACCTACCTACATACATACACAAACATATATACATATATATATACATACATATATATATACATACATATATATACACACACAGAGGTGTATATGTGTATATATATATACACACATATATGTGTTTGTCTGTGTATGTATATATATAAATACATACATACATATATATATATATATGTTTATATATATATATATATATATATATATATATATATATATATATACGTATATATATATATATATATATATATATATATATATATATATATATATATACGTGTATGTGTGCTTATATATATATATATATATATATATATATATATATATATATATATACATATACATATATACATACACACATATATATGTGTACAAACACATACACACACACACACACACACACACACATATATATATATATATATATATATATATATATATATATATATATATATATATATATACATATATATATATGTGCGTGTATGTGTGTGTTTGTGTGTGTGTGTGTGTGCGTAAAGCAGCAGGATAAACAACATTCTTGTTTTTTCCATTTGGTGTGAGTAAGGAGAGACTTGCCATTGCCAACCCACACAGAGCTGACCGTGGGAAAAGCATTTCTGCTTGAGAAGTTCACCAAAGGCATCCCAATATGCCCGATTAAGTCTGCAGGTGTATGCGTGGGTACGTGTCCATGTGTACGTGAAGCAATACACATGCGCGTCTAGAATTGTGCATATATCCTTAGATATGTATATTTGTGCGTAATGTGTGTATATATTCACATGTCTGTATGCATATGTATGTGTAGGTGTGTGTATATATGCGAATATATGTGCATATGTATGTATGTGTATGTATATATGGTTGTATGTGTACGTATATATATTTGTATGTATGTGTGTGTATATGTATATATATGTGTGTATGTATGTATATGGGTATGTGTGTGTATATGTAGGTATGTATGTGCATGTCTATGTATGTTTATATGTATGTGTGTGTGTATATATATATATATATATATATATAT